TTAACTGATGGCACTATTGGGAGGTGGTGGAAATTCTAAGAAAGGCTAGTTGAGGAAGGTCATAGAGGGATATGGATTGTCCCTGGGTTCTCTCTTTCTTTTTCTTCTCCCCCTCCTTCTCTTTCTCTGTCTTCTCCCCCCCCCCCTTTCCTCTCTCTCCCTCTCTCTCTGTATTCAGGAAGTGAGCAACTTTTCCCTGCCACACCTTTCTACCATAATGTTTCTGCCTTGATGGAGAGAGGCTCAGAGCAATGGAATCATCTTACCATGGGCTGAAACCTCTGAAACTATAGGTAAAATAAACCTTTTTCAAGTTTTGTAACAGCCATGGAAATCTGACTACACGCTGGCTTTCCAATCACTTGGGAGCAGTGATTGAGACTTAGCTGCCATCATGGGGAGAAGCCACTGGACTCTGTCTCAACTCAGCTGGGACCTTCAGGATGAATAGCAAAGTTTATTCCAAAAGACAATCGAAGAAAACTAAATGAGCATATATTTTCCTTTATGCTTTAATGCATTTTAAGAATGCAATTATTCTGAGGGTCGTTAAATTTTTTTGAACAATCAAGAATTCAGGCAATTAAGTGGATTCTCAACATCAAACAATTCACTAGTCATAATTTATCACCACTCCCGTTGCTTGGTGTTTCAAGAAGAATCTTTCCACTTGTATTGTTATCTCAAATGTGTTTTAAAATGAGCCGTAAGTGTGTACTATTTGTAAGTAGTTAGCAAAATTATTTTAAAACTGCATGAATAATAGGCAAAATGACACACCTTTTGGAGAACAAAAAGGCCATAATAAAGTGAGGGATAACGTGTAAGAATGGATGTAATGGTAGGAATTAAAATGACGGCTAACAATTACTTTCAATTTGAACTGAGCTGAAGAAAATCAGAATTACAATACTCTTGTGATTAAACTTTGATGAGATGAAAATGTCATCATTGTTTGATGAGAATTTTTTATTAGAGTTCAAAGACTATGAATGATTTAACCACAATGTACCAACACCACAGGGCTGAATAATCTATATCGGTTTTCCTCAACTCTTCCTTCTTGCAGGTCACTGGAGAAATCTCAGCTGCGCTTGTCGTGTTCCTCAGCCCAACTGTTTCCATAACAGCAGCTTTTGGAACAATGAGATAAAACACAAGTCCTTTGTGATAAGTTTTGACATTGAAATCTTGGAGCAGCTTAATATGGTAATATGGTATTTCCAGGAGTCATGAGCTGAGATTTAGGTTCACAATATTTTGTTGTTGTTGTTTTTATTTTTTTAGAAATTTTAGAGACTGGCTTTCTTGAGACAAATGGGAGATCTTGCTTTTATCTTGAATTCCTTGCTGAAAATCAAGATTCAGCGGGTCCTTTCACTCTACAGGAAGGATCTCTTTCCCTTTAGCCTGACATCTTGACAGTTCAATTGAGATAAGGGCTTCGGTTTGTCAAAGAGGATGCATAGCCCAATTCTCCCTGGGGCCCTCTCATTACAGTACAGCAGGACAAGAGCACACCAAGTCAGCTCGGGGACTTTTCTAAACTGTACAGGACAGAGGCTGTTTCAGGGATTCCTGCAGGGAGAGGCAGGTTGGGGAGCTGGGGGACTTTCTCTAGTGTCCTTCCTCTTTTTTCTGTTTCCTTTCTTTCTCCTCTGAAAGTCCAAAATTTAAATAAATAGATTTCTGCAGTTCTTGTTAATGTACTTTAAAAGAATTACTTTTTTTTTTTTTTTTTTAAACTTATCTACTTTTTGTCTTCTGCTAGACTGGCGTTCAAATATTTGGGGACACAAGCTACAGTTTTATATTTTGGAGACGTGAAAACAGTTTTATTAAATCTCATTTTTTCCACTCAAGTCTTTCCCATTCTGTTGAAAGAAAAAGAATCAGCAATGGTCATTATACCCAATTATTTCCCAAAGCTGTTGCCAATGAGAGAGTAATACAATTTAGTTCACTCAAAAATATCTTTTTTATTTCCAATTTTTAAAAAGCAGCCTTTTACCTCTAAATGCTGGTGTTGAGTAGGTGATATGATACCTCAGATTATTGCTAAGTCCTATTTACTGACTCCCTTATTAATATTTTATTGAATATATATCTGATGAAGATATCTATTAAATTTTTCTATTGATCCTTGAACAAAATAGATACTCAGGTATATGTGGATTGGGTGTCTAACAGGTAAATATGGGTTAAAATGTATGCTGACAACTAAAAATAGGACGAGGAATTAAGCCTCAATGAAGGGCAAAAAGAAATTGTCACACTAGGTAGACTAAAGAGTTAATTTGGATTGAAACAATCGGAGGCATAGGTTTCTTTCCTCTTGCTCACTAAGGAAAGTTTTCTTGGCCATTCAAAGTCCCTTTTAGAACTACTTTATAAGCTTAGCTGATTTATCTTCGTGGCATTTGTCCTTGAATGTTTAAATCCTCCTTTAGAGGTGGTCAAAACGATAATAAGAGATTGGGTCAGGAACAACAGAGAGCTTCCAGTATATTGCTATCTTGACTGGATATGAAACATCAAAGGCTTGCCAAAGGCAGATAACGAAAGTTAGAACTAGCGTACCACAGCCAGGAGGCCATATGGGCAACGGCTAAGAGCGGAGAGCTGTGGACAGACTGCCCAGTGCAAATCCCACCTCCATCCATAGGAGTGCTGTGATTTTTAATAAATGACTCACTTTCCTTAGACTTTGGTTTCCTCGTCTGTAAAACAGGGATAAGTGTAGTACCGACTTCATACGGTTTTGGTGAGAAAAGAGCCAACAGTATAGAGCCTATAATCAGCACAGAGTAAGTGCTCAACAAGGGAAAGTTATTGTAGTTACTATTGTTGAATGTAGAAGACTTTAATGGTAACTTTGCAATTAGTTCTCAATTTTAGTATTTTCTGGATCAAGTGCAAAATTCATAGGGGTCTTAATAATATTTCCCCAAGAAGAACTAAAGCAGGATTTTCCTAAATTATCTGAGGTACCAAATAAATCCACTGTGGCAGCCAACTCTGTCCTCTTATGAGACCTCACCTAAGCTCTGTAGTATGTACTTCAGGTCTGTAGTACTTAATTCATTGCCATGTGGTGGTGTGGTACACAGAGTCTCCCTAGTCTGGAGATACGTGTGTCACTGAAGGGAAATGTGGCTGATGGGAAATTATAAGGACAATGTAGGCGATTGGAATTAATTGGGGTATGGGTTCCAACTTTTGTTACACTACTAGATGTGATATTTTGGGAAATGTACTCATTCCTTTTCATCACTGTGATTTTCTTTTCTTGGTACTGGGAACCAAACCCAAGGTCTTACCCAATTAGGCAAGAATGCTGCCACTGGACAAAATCTCCAACTTTTACTTATTGCCCACTGATATAGTTTACTTGCCTTTGGAGATGTGGATAAGCGTAATATTTACCTCATGAGAAGCCTCGAACATTAAACGGTTGAGAACAATATTTAAATTCTAGACCCCCACACATGTGTGCTTATAATTAATAGTTATTGTAATTATTCAATTTTCTCCCTCCCTTTTTATCTGTGGCTAATGTTCTCATAACTCTCTATCTCTTCAGCAGAAAATGATCCTTGAAAGGGAAGAAGGAATGATTTCCCTTGCTCACAAGTGATCCTATTTCCTGAAGATTGGAGTGTTTCTTTTATCATCCATCCATACATCCGTTTATCTTTTTACTTACTTTATAGTTATTGGGTGCTTGCCTCGTGCTGCCACTGTGATGTGCAAAAGGATGATAAACATTACTATGCTAGTTTCTTAGAGAGTTTTGAACTTGTAGAGGAAGAAGAATTCAAGTCAGTTTTTAGGCTCTTTGATATTTCCCTAAACCAAAATAATGAAGACGGGAAAACACTGAAAAAATAGTAAAAATTAATTCAGGTGACATATTGTTTTGGACATTTTCCAGTGGGATAATTATCTGAAAGCAGGCTGACATTTATATCTTTAGCTTTCTATGCTTGTTTAAAATACTTTTCTTGCTGAGATACTTACTGAGCCAAATTTCATCTAACATCTGGCCAATGTATAAATATAGTAATGAAAACATGTCTTGTTGCTTACACTTCAGGTATAAATTTTAGAAATCCAATTAGTGTTTCATTCTTTGTGTGCATTTGTCTTTTTCTTTAGTGTTTGAGCTAACTTCAGGCTCCTACCTGGCATTATAAGAATTCAAACATTTAGCACACAAGTCTGCAGCCCAAAGCAACTAGATCGAAGAATAATGCTTTGTAGCATTTCTTAATGATTGTAAGATACTAATTAAGTTTTTTCTTGTCCATACAGCAAGCATTTATTAAGTAAATGTCAAGCCTCTTTTCAATGTGTAGGAGTAGTGGTAAGAATGGTAAAAGTGTAGAATATGTAAGACACAGTCTTAGCTTTTAAGGGGTTTAAGAACCATTTCACTACAATATGATAAATGCTATATATATATATATCCATCCACCTGGATCCTAAGGGAGCATTCACCTTAATGGGATGAATTTACTACACATATGATCATCCTTAATCCTCTGAGAGTCAATAACCTCACAAAATTGAGAAGGCCTTCATACAAGAATCCAAGAGGGTAAGCCAGTACTCACTGAGCCTACATTTTCCATCTGGGTAGGCAAAATCTGCCAAATGCCCTGAGGACAGATCATCTATTTAGCAATGCCGGTCGCAGTCATTTGAGTCTCCACTTTCGGACTCACAATAATGATAGCTGACATCTCATGGCCCATTTTGCATGAATGTGGATGTTCTGAAATAAGCCTCAGAATACATAATTTTCACCATCTACATAAGCTTACCACAGCGCATACATTGCATGATTTCAGAAAATACTTTTGATTTTGTGAATTCCATCATTATTTCATTTGGTGTTGATTATATGCAAATACCTAAACCTTCTGTTCATTCCAAAGGAAGCTTATAAGCTCTAATTTGCAAAAACTGCATATGAATTTTGAACATAATCGAACACATTTACCTTTAAAAACATTCAGAAGTTTATTTGTACAAGCTTAGTTGTATGAGATGCAATATAATTCATGGAAATCAACCACAGTGCTAATACCTTAATAGATTATTCCAAATATTAGACATTACAGTTTAAATCTCTAACATGAACTCTAATGTGGGAATAACATTTCAGTTAATAAATAATTGTGAATGTAACCATATGTTCAGTTTATTCTTCCTGTTTTGTCATGAATTACAATTTTATTATGATCCGGATCATAAAAATGATAAATAATTGAGTATATATTTTCACAAATTGCATGTTTAATTAATCCTGAAGAGAAGCTGAAAATACATTCTAGTAGGGTTAAACAAGTAGGTGTGCTTTTAGCTCTTTGATTTTCAACACAAATAGCTAACACTATACTTGCTCTTCAATTCAGTGTTCATTGCTCATACTATGTAGCATTTATTTGATATGGATTTTTCTAGGTCATTGATAGTCTTTTGCAAAAGTGAGTGGCCACAGTTTCTAATCCGTGAGTTATGTGCCTTCCATTTATTTCACAGGATCATAGGTTTCAAAAGTTACATTATACCATCTGCATAGTAACCTTATTTTCTTAATGATTTCATGCTATAACCACTCTAGGGAAGACAAATGTGCTTTCTAGGTACAAAGCGTTCTGAACTCACTGTATGGTGCTGATGGTCAGGATTTATATTGGCTTTTCTATATTTTTTTGGATCAGGCTGTCTATTCAGCTCAGACTGTCATCTTCAGTTGTCACAAAGGCAATTTCTCTGTCACAGGCTCATAATGTGTGGGGACAGAGTAAATGTGCCACAGTAAACACCCTTGTCAGGATTAAATTTAGCATTTCAATTTGCTGTTCTAGTTTGGAATTTCCCTGTCATTATCCAGTTTAAACATGAGTGGCTTAGATTATGGACTGGAAGAAGATTCTGTTAGGAGTCAGGCCTCTAACATATCAGATAGCTTGCTTCCATTATATATATTTTTCCCCTATTTCCAATTCTCTTGTACAACAGTCAACACCAAGCAGTGACTCGAGTTAGCATCTATGAACTGCAGTATGAAAAGACATACATAATAGAAAACATAAGAACTTGGAAAAATGTTAAATGGCAGAAATACAGTGTAGATGCTTGAAATTCGTCAACTATTTAGGCTCCAGAAAATACTCTCTTTCAGTATAAAAAAGCTGAGGATTTCTGAAAGAATATGCTATTTTTAACAATGGAAACACATTTTCAAACTCTGAGTATTAAGATCTTTTTTATAAAACCTCCAAAACTTAAAAAAAAAAAATAGTTCTTTCCCTCATGTACCATTTTGAGAAACTATGTGCATTTTCAGAGTACAGACCACCATGTAATTTTGGGGTGTCTGTGTACTCTTCCTGCGGGAAGAGCCAGCTGGCATTGTTCCATGACTGGGTATGATTCATTTATGTCTTCCTGGTTTTCCTCTCTGATCTCTTCTCTGTGTATCTGTCAGCTGCAGTCTCCTGGGAGCGGCACTATGCACTTCATTAATAAGAAGGGATTAAAGAAAAAAGCCCTGGTCTCCTAATACACTCGGATAATTTGGTGCCGTCCACCAGGCAATAGACCCCTGCTGCATAGATGTCATTAGAAAGGTACAATTTCATTACTTTTACTGGCAGAGCCTTGAGTGAAATACAAAATATGTTGTCTCATATTCAGGAAAACAAGAATGCCGAAGCTTCCATCCACTTCATGCCCCTAAACACAGTCAAATGCAAAAATATATTCTATGGTGTTCACATTTGTAATGCCTCCCTTTAATAATACTCAAAATCACGCTTTTTATTAAATATCACACAAATAATTAAAACATTATTCCTATTTTTAAATCCCAAATGAGATCGCCATGTTTTGGCTAACTACACACTTACTACCTACTGTGTGCCCAACACTCTGCTGGGTGCTGAAAAGCAAATTATAGAACTATCACCTGCTTTTTAAAAGCCTCTAACTTACTGACTGCTAACATTGAAACGAATGTAAAAGTGAGTGTATATGAAGTAAACCACATAATAGAATAAAAGTGATTATAAGCCTGTCCTTTATAAGCATATTCAGAAATACACTGAACTCTTGCTTCTCAACTAAATTTAGTTTTGAGCTGGGATATTTGCTGACAGTTGATGTTACTTTTTGACCTGAACCACCCCTCGATCTTAAGCCTTCAGTGATGTATTGTGCAAGTATTTGACATAAAGGGCGCAAACCACCCTTGTAGATTTGCCCTGTAGTTTCTACAGGTGCCACCCATCAGGAAGTGACCCATATCACTTGTGTACTTCTGATGGAAGGGCTGGGCTTTAGGTACCTGCCATAAAAAATGTGAAGAAAGCAGTGACACTCGGAAGCATGACATTGGTGTGATGACTCCAAGAACCTCGTACTCACGCACGTCACTCTTAGCACCGAAGAGAATCAGGTTTAATAATGGTCCATTATCTTGCTGCCACAGACACACAACTGCCATTACTGCTAAAAAGTGACACACAGTTGGAACTGTGCCGGGGAGAAGAAAGCCTTTGATGACCAGCTATTTACATGCTCACTCCTTATAGTGATGGGGCTGCACCCCCCCCCCACTACTAGCTTTTGTCCTGCAAAATTGACATTTGCAGCAGCTCTTTATCTAAGATAAAGGCAGACTAGACAGTCAGAATGATAGAAACCAAGGGTTTCAGAGAACATTCTACTGACAAAAGGCAAAGCAGTGCAGAGAACACAAATTACCTTAACAAATACACTAGTCAGTAACAAAGCATTTGAAAATCAGGCTGGATTATACACTCCCTTTTATGCCTCAACCACGACTTGCCTGACCTGTCACACATTTCAATTTGCTCAAATATCATTACATTTGTGGTGAAAATCAACAAATGTCACAAGAAGTGAGAGAGTAGCGGAGGTTTGGGCTGTGCAGGACCAGTTTGTACCTTCCAGAGTGAGCAGGGCTTAACAACTGCGCTTGTTGTGAAAAGTAAGTCTTACCTAATATTGCAACACAGACAACCAAAGTTATAAGCACACAAACTCCCCAGTTCTGCCAATAAATTAAAAAAAAAAAGGCAAAGTGGTTAAAAGCTTAGTTCGTTAATTTTGTGTGATACATTCAATGATGTGCACTGAAAACAGATTAGCTATTTGATGCCAGAACACAGATTTCCCTTTTTCTTGTGATTTTTATACCATGGTAACTGTTTCCCCACCCACTATAAGATTTTCCATCTGCTTGTCCTGAATCTCAATAGATGTCACTAATGATTTAGATGTTTTAGAAGGTGGAACAAATAAATATTGAGGGTTTCCAAATATTATCACCGATTCTCTGGGCTTTAGCCCACACTATCTTGAGGAGGAAAAAGAATAATAATGAATTGGAATTGAGGTTGAAAGTTCGTTTTTTGTAATAAAAATGGAGATGATTGGTGAAAGATGAGCACTGTTCATTTTCTTGTGCAGAGATAGTTTATAACTAAGGAGGTTGTGAAAGAACTTACCATATTTCTTCTTTTGAATGTGCATGACCCTGTGACAATACTGCACTTGGTCACTGTTAATCTTGACTTAATGGAACAAATATTCAAATCATAATAACATCGATGATACCAATTTCCTCATACAGGAGGAAAAAGCTAATAGATACGTCTCTATGTTTTATAGGATAAGACAATCAAATTGTGACACACATTTCAAATTGATTATTAATAAATGGCAAGTAGTTAAACTACAGCTATATTTACTTTGGGGGATGCTTTAACGAGAATTCTTTTTCAGATTTGAAATTCACAATGGGTTTCTTCCTTTCCTCCTTGGTAATTAATCAAATATTTATTGCTTAGACTGAGTAGTATGGCGAGAAATGACGAATCTGCTTGTGTCTAACTTACAACAAATCTGTTTCCTTAATGGGCGGAAGGAAATCTGAGGACAGTTCTAAGGAGTCTCGTCTGCTTTCAGTGCCGTCTTCTAGTCATACCGAAGACAATACCTCTCCGGACGGATCTTTCCCCTTCTTCTCTTCACCCCGGTCAATGTCGATCACGTGCACCACCCCAGGTTTCAGAATCAGGTCCTCGGTTTCCACCTGGCTCCTGTTGTCCTCCACCTCCATGTAACTCCCTTTTGTTTGCTGAGCAGCTTTGCTGAAGGCTTCCTTAAACCGACGTTTGAGCTCAACATCTGGACAGAAGACATATTCATAAAGGCCACCAGCTAGGACGGCTCCTATGATTGGTCCAACCCAGTATATCTGGGGGAGAAAGGGGAGCACACAATGTTAAAGGAAGGCTACTTCACTGAGTGACTCATGATTGTATGATTTAGCTGGGTAAAATTAGGAACAATTATGTTATGCATGGAAAAGAGGATAGAGAGAAAATGCCAGGATATACCAAATTCACACCAGACACCCATAAATTATTAAATAACATTTGAACAGGAAATAAGAAAGTTGTTTCTTTTCCTCCTTTCACTGATTACATTTTTCAATTTTCTGATAATTCTTAACATAAAGATAGCTCCTCTTTGGAAGTACCATCAATTAAGCTGACATTAAGAATTCTTGAACCAAAACTGAAAAGGAAAAGAATTTGTGGAAAGCACTTCTTTCACTTAATCAACCTTGCCTTCCTAGTTTGCTTTTCTGCATAATCAGGATCACAGTAGAGCTTATTATTGGGGCCTTTTGTTATTTAGCACCACATGATAAATGGACTCCCACTGAGTATTTTGTGACTGCTTACATTCATTGCTTAACTTGCTGTGCCTGGGTTTCCTCATCTGCAAAGTGGGGATTATAATTAAACATATCTTACAGATGTGAAGATGAAATACCGCTTGTGAAGCACTGAATAGTTCCTAATTGAAAGTCACAGGCTCTACTTTTTAGGAAATTTAAAGATGTATGTTACTAAGATGGCTATAAATCATTGTTTTCTTTTTGTTGAATGCTTTTTCTCTTTAAAATTTGGTGGCTTGATTCTACTTTGGTTCTGTGTTTGGTTTGTTTCTCTTGTTGCAGAGTTTTCCTCTAAATGGTGACTTGGAGAAAGTGCTGAATTGAAGAATGGTGGTTAGTTATCACCTATAAAGTTTCGACTGATTGACATTCCATAGGATTTCAATAAATGAAAGTTTTACTCATATGATGGAAGCATCTAGAATAAACTAAGTTTTGAATTTGATTAAACCATAACATTTAGTTTTGAGCACATATATACTAGAATATTAGGTGCTATTTCAACTGATTGATTGGGAAATAGAAAGCTTGTCTATTGCGAAGCCTCTGAGCTAGCCATACTGAGCTCTTTTCTTGTATTAACTCAGTTCTAGCAGCAACCTTTGAGATAGATGTTACTATTATCTGTATTTTATAGATAAAAAACTGACACCTTGAGAGGTAAAGAAGCTCTCTGAAGGTTGCAGTCTTAGAATGTGATCAAGCTAGGATTTCAGGTCTGCCTGGCTTGAATTCTTCTTTTTGAATCATTATACTAGTTCCCACTATACTGCATTTCTACTGCTTGGAGAAAAATATGATGAATTTTTTTGCTTAAAATGCCCTCTGGAAACAAATCACACTAAACATCCCTATTGTAAATCCAAACAAATTTGAATTTTAAACCAAAATTGAACATACATTCTTAACAGGGAAACTGTTGGCATAGTGGCTGAAAGAACCAAGCTTCTTATCTTGAACATGAATGAATCCATGGGAGATTTTATCTTCCCTATACTCTTTCCAAGGAGAAACAAGAGTGTTCCTCTAAATGTCTGCTTTTTGTTCTTTTTGGGAACATCTCATTAAATTGGTACTACTCCACTGGATCTAAATCCCAGAAGGGAAAAGAGAGATTGTTAAATAATTGTTCTCCAATACATCTAAAAAGGAGATAGGTAGATGCATGTTTTCAAAACTAAACAATCTCAGTACCAAGTTGCTATTCCAAAACAAAGTCATGTATATTTTAAGGTAACTTAAAAAATTTATAAAGGCAAGAAATTCTTATTATGAAAATACAGAAGATTAAAAAATACAGAAAATACATGGAAGTATAAAGAAAATAAAATGTCATACTCATAACAATCACAATTAATATTAATATGTCTATTGCCATGCATGATTTAATTTTAAAGACTGCACAACCATTGCTACACAATAAGCATCTACTTCTAGGAAGATTAAATTTTTTAGAAAACAATAGGGGGAAACATTTAATTTAATCAACAAGCTAAGAATTTTTCTACCACTTCAATTCTGCCAATTTTACACTTTTGTCCACATTTTCAAGTCTTCATAAATCAAATTAAAAGATATTAGTTAGAAAATAGTTTGAAGTCAGTATACTGTAAGATCTATATGCTATTTATTAAGAATTTGCATTTTTGTTAGCATGGTAAATCTTTTGAAACATAAACTGAATAGGTCAGACTTGGTTGATAACCGTCATATGTATAAGATCAAAACACAAAGGTTATATTGTGAGATTCATAAATTTTTAAAAATCATAAAATACCATTATACCACATGACTGATAATAATAGCTCTACTTGTATTTCTGTTGGTCATCATAGGTTAGTATGTGACTGGCCTTCACAACTGCTTGATGACCCATTTGAAGAATTTAATTCTTTTGCTATAAGAAGCATGCAAACAAATTTGATTGTGAGGGTTAAAAATGGGTATCACCAGTCTCTGGAAGCACTGCCACCACATCCATTAGCAGTTTAGGCTTGAGATTGAGAAGCATGCCTTTTCTCATAGTCATTTATTTTTCCAGCTACAGTTATGGTGATAATAGCATAAACATTTGCACCATTTATTCTGCACCATCTGCAGCTCAAATGCTTCCAACTCACATACTATTAATTGGGTTATGCTTTTGTAACCAAAAAGAATTATTTTTGCTGCAGATTATGCCTTTAAGTTTTCCTTATTTTTGTTCTTAAATTTATGTTTTGTTATTGTCGGGAATGCTTTTCTTTCAATTTTTTACACACCACATTCACTGCACCATCCTGACCTTCATTTTTTCTATACTGGCAACCTCCAGGTATCAAATATTCTGCTGCAGTCTGTCAGATATGTGCCCAGACTAGTGCTTATAAAAACAATGACAACGAAAACTATTACTGAAGGCCCAGAACATATACAAGATGAGGAGTTTTGCAGCATACCTGTGGCAAAGTTTCCCTAGTCTTTTTTTCTTTCTTTCTTTCTTTCTTTTTTTTTTTTTCCAGTACTGGGGATCAAACTCGCAACCTCGCGCTTGCCAGGCAGATGCTTATGCCACTGAGCTAAATCCCCAGCTGAGTTTCCCTAGTCTTTATGAAAGATATAATAAAGTAAGAGTCAAGATTGGGGGAATGCAGCAGAAACTAGGTAGCAAAACAGAAAAAGGAAGAGCCTCACGGATAACTGTCTTCAACTATTAGACAAAATAACTATCAACGTGATGGTTACCCAGTGGTTTTCCCAGTTTCCCATGATAACTGCAGGTCCAAAGGATCTGGCTGGATTCATGCTGGCACCAGTATAATTGATCTACAGAAAAAAAAAGAGGGGGAAAACCTCAGGTATTGCTAAAAGAGAGCTTCTAACACATGTCATTTATCTCCATTTGCCATTACTTGACAAGTCAGTTAGAGGAACCTTAAGATGTTAGGAGCTATAAACATATTCATCGTATAGTTAGTAAAACTACCACCCAGAATGAACAGGCATGTCTGGATGCTAAAGAGCTACAGCTATATCACTCACAGCATCTTCGGGCCAGCACTAGGGTGAGGAAAAATGAGATGAATCAATTATTTAAATGGGCTTGGAAACTTACTGCAAATAAATGTCCAATTGCAACCGAAAATCCAATTGCTAAAGCTATTGAACCAGTGACATCAGTCCGCTTGGAATCACAGCTGGCAAAAATAGTAAACACCAACTGAAATGTGATTATCAACTCCACCAGGAGACCATGACCGGCAGTAAGATTTCCATGAACCTGAAGAGAGAAAAATACTCCATCTGAATCACATATCAGTGACACTTGTCATTACGGCAGCCATATTTATCTGTATGCAACATAATCATTAATTTAAGTCTTCTACACTACCTTTAGTTAAAACCTCTAGCCCTTCTTTGTCCCCAAAAGAAGAAATAAATTTACACTTATTTTGGGCTTTCACAGATAGTTACTTTTACAATGACTGAACAGAGCTCTATGCTGAATTTCATTTTTTATCAAGGAAGCTAAATGTGCCACTGCTGCATTTACAAAATTTTCTTGAGAGACTTATACTTTTATTAGGCAATGATTAAGTCCATTAATTAGGCTTAACTTAATATGTATCTCAATTAAAATTTAAATTTCAGTGTGTGTATGTGTGTGTTTAAATCAACTCTAGAACCCAGCTAATGATATTTCTAACTAATTAAGAAATAGGATCAGATATCAATTTTTAAATATGACTATGCAGATCATGTTGAATTTGGTATGAAAAGAAATCCAATCCTTCCTTCTGTTGAAGAGCAAATAAATGTAGAAAATAATTAAATATATAACAAAGTTGCTACAATAGGAAAGAGAAGGAAAAAAACCAACAGCATTTTGTGCCACCTAGACTTAGTTATTTTTTATTCCTCAAGAGTGAACGATGATTTCCTGTGAACATTTTTGGTGCTGCCAAACTCAGTTTTCACTCTATCAAGAATCACAAAATATCCCCTGTGAATAGATTAGCAATTTTAAGAATTTGTCAAGGCTACAGGATATCATTTAGCGGAGTCTATGGGCAGCTGGGAGTGAGTCCTGTTCTGAAGAGAAGAGAGGAGGAGACTACCGTGGTGACCCCCAAGCCTCCCACCACACTGGGAGGTGTGACCAGGTAGAGGATCCCAGCTCCTATGATGGCCCCCAGGCACTGGGCTGCGATGTAGAAGACGGACTTGGCAATGCTGATCTTCCTAGTGCACACCATGGCCACTGTCACTGCAGGGTTGATGTGGCCGCCACTAATGTGGCCAAAGCACTGCACCATGGTGGCAATGCTGAGTCCAAAGCAGAGAGAGATGAGAACCATGTCGACAGGTAAGGGCTTCTCTGCTCCACCCCAGTTGATGGTGGAGCCCAGGCTAAGCAGGACAAAGATAAGCATGGCCAGAAATTCTGCTGTGACTGCCTTCCAGAACGCTTGAGTCCAGACTCCTTTGAAAGCCACCATGATGTCCTCTCTGGTGCACAAGGGTCCACACTTGCTGAAGAGAAAAGCAAATCTGCATCAGAAGCCACCAGAGCAGCCTTTGCACAGCAAGGGTGTATGCACTATGAACGGAGGGGAAGGAGGCCAGCCCTCCACTTTTTCTGGGACTGCCGGGGAGGCAAACCAAGAAAGAAAGCTCTGCAAAACCTTAACTAGTAGTCAAGAGAGTGTTGTTATTTTAGTCTCCTTTGCATTAAGATACAAAGATCATCCAGTTTCATTGACAGTTATCCCAGTGGTCCCTAGAAAGGAAAATGCCTCAATCACGTTGACCTGGTAGTTAAATCCCTAGACAAGTTTTAAAGTTGGTGATTTTTATCCGGCACTTACACTTTGAAAATAAAGCAGTGAAGTAGGCAGGTCTTTTCATTCCTGTACTCTGTAACTTCAACACTGCACATTCTGATAATGGATTTTGTTCCTCCTCCCTGAACCCCCAGCAGACAGCGTGCACTTAGAAGGGGCTGCTAGGACGCCGGCACTGTGCCTGGCATCTGGCATCCGTGGTGGGAACCCAGGGCCTCAGCTGGGCTGTCTCTCCCTCCCTCTCCCCAGCTCCAGGAGTCAGCGAGACGCCAGCAGGAGGAGCCCAGGAGCTGGGCCCACAGAGACACCACGCATCACAGATCTGGGCCTGTGGCCCAAGCCTGAGCAGTCCGGCTCCAGGGAGCCTGGAGCTCCCCTGGGGGGGAGGCTGGGCTCAGGGCTGCTGCCAGGTGGACAGAGGGGCTCTGGGGTGGCGGGAACAGAGGGTAAAGGATGCTTCTGCGAGGTGGGGAGGAAAGCAGTGGCTCCTTGTGTCCTGCTCTCTCTCCACCCTTGGTCGCCCCCCTTCAGCTCACCCCAAGCAGTTTTGGAGGGTGGGGTGGGACACAGTGCAGGGGCAGCCTTCTGTCTGCTGAGACAGGGGAGGGGTGCAGTGGGTCTGGAGCAGAAAGGTTGTTCTCCAGGCTTCCTGCGGCCTCCTGGGGGCTTGGGCCTGAAGGACAGTATGCCTCCTCTTGGGGACCCTGTGTGTGTGTGTGTGTGTGTGTGTGTGTGTGTGTGTGTGTGTGGACTCTGGGCCCTACTGGGAGGGAAGATACTCCTGCCCCGCTGCTTTGTTCTCAGTGCCCTTAGAGCTGAGAAGAGCTGGGATTTGCGGATGTTAATGTGCAATGTGCATTTCTGCCTGGGACTGGTGGCTTTATGCTAATAATCCCGCAAATCCGAGAGTCTGTGGCAGGAAAAGCATGAGTCAAAGCACAGCCCAGACAACTTCAAACCCAGTGTCAAAAAAAAAAAAAAAAATTGAGATGCTGGGATGTAGCCCAATGTAAAGGTTCTGGGTTCAAGCCACAGTAACAATACAACAAAACAGCCAACTCCTCATTGTAGCATGGGATGGCTAATATCCCCAACTCCTCTTCGAGAGGGCAATCACCCTCCAAGCACCCCATTATCTAAGACATTTGCCCTTGCCCTTTGCCGAGGAGAGGCATCAGAGCAAAAGAGCACAGGGAATATTTAGCAGAGAATCTAAGCAGAGGCCTTTGTAAAAGTTTAGCCCACTCCCCTAAAAAGAGACAAGTACTTTAAGAAATTTAAGAGATTAAGAAATGTTTTGAAGAGTCTTTCCTTTATTCTGCCCAAGTCTGAGTGGCAGAATAATAAAGGAAGGACTGGCTCTAGGAGGGGGCAACCAGCTGCACCCCGAGCGTCCTCCAACGCACAAGTGAACTCTAAGTGCACCACATAATTATGGAAAACCCCAGCTGGGATGTCACACTTACTAGAGGAAGAGGCTATAAAGAGAATAAAAGAGCACTCAGAGTGGGGCAGTGTGGGCACCCTGGGAGAGACATCAACAGTGTCCCCACAGGGACAGAAGAAGGAGTTAGCAGAGTCACCTGTGCACTCACCAGCAGCCCAGGCTGTAGCCAGCGGCAAAGGGGCAAGGTGCTATTACTGGTGCTGTAGGCTGTGGCCTCGATTTAGTGGGCAAAGGAAGAGGGCAGAGTAGGAAGCCAAGGAGGCAGGAAACTCTCCCTTTACAGCACCCCAGGGGAGGCGGTCCTGGAAAAGGCCAGCCTTCCTGGACACCCCTTCCTTTCCCCTGGGTCCGGGAGTCCCTGGAGCTCTCTTGGTGCTCATCCCCACACCTGTCTACCTCTCCAGACATCTCATGTAAAAACAACAGCAGCAAAACAGTTGTTCCATTTTCATGAGGCAGAGAAATTAATAACACAAAAGCTTAAGTAAACAAAAAACACAAATATACTTCTCAGGCATGTATTTAACCTTTTAAAAAAAACCTGCCGAATTGGGTCTTACTCCAGGGCAGACAGAGGGGAGCAGCCACTGTTGGGACCCCCATGTTTGCTGGCATGGACCTACCTTCTGGAAGGCTCAGCCCTGTGTCGCTCCAGGCCCCTGTTACTCACATCAGGGTTCTCTTATGTGTTCACACTCACTGGAGATTATTGGCACAATTTATTTTGCTGCTTTTGCCCCAGAACAAAGGGGATTTGTTGATGTGACCAGGTGGTAGTGAACCGGACACATAGCTTGCTAACTGAACACCCAGCTTCATCCACTCCTGGACAGCCGAGTCTCTGGGTGAGTAATTTTTCTGATGAAAACTACTGCAGATAGACTTAACTCCATGCAGAAATTTCCTTATGCTCTTACAGGTCTTTGCAAGGAAGATTTTGCAAAAAAGCATTATCTTTTTCCTACTTCTTTCTGCCTTTCTTCTGAATATGCTCAGTATTTGGATTTTAAAAGCACCACCCACCTGTCCTATAGCTGCCTTCCACATTCAGTGGGAGAAGCCAGAGGGATCTGTAATAAAAGAATCTCATCTTTTGGCCCTGACCATTGTTCCCTTAAGGCAAAGAAGGACTTACCCCCACCGCCTCGCTGCGGGTCTATCACTCATGCCTTCCCTGGCCAGAGTGCAGTGCACATTGCCTGCCCCTGGGCTCCCAGTGTGCTAGGAGTCAGATTACGGCCACTCCTCTGATTGGGTTTTTGGAGTGGAGGGGTGGAAAGATTCTGCCCCATGTGCCAATGGCTAAGTTATATTTGAACTTGAAATAACTTCTCTGTACCTGATCACTATAGACACAGGGCATTTCAGGAATGCAAAAGATTTATTTACATCATGTTTCTTTAGCCAATCATCTTTGCAAAGGAGGCTTTCTCCCGATTTTTCTTTGAATTGCACCTCCACAAGGAATTGCTGAGAACCTGTCTTGCTTTATGTTGCAGTCAGAATTGGACAACTATTAGAAAACAGATTTGGATCATGCAGCAATTGAGATGAATTGTGAGCTAGACTCAGCACATTCATTTTGAGTGGTAAATAACCAGTGAGTTCTACTTGAAGTTTTTGATTCCAGAAGAAGCATAATGTATAACTGAAGCTCCTTTTATAGCATAGATGGTATTGACTTGCATAATAAAAAATAAGGAAAAATAGGAAATGAGACTGCTCCAGGGTGCTTAATAATTTTTTCTTTTTAGGTAAGAGAAAAAAAAATTTTTTTCCTTACATAGAGATTGGAAAGGAACAAAATTATTGGATAGGTAAATTTAATATCTGGAAAACTAGGGGCAGGACTGACTACATAATTTTCTGGTCTCAGTGAAAAATTAGGGCAGGACTCTTTGGCCAAAAATTATTAATGATTTCAGGGCAGTAAGCAAAAGCTGGGGCCCTCCTCAATGCAGGTCCTGTGTAGTGGTTGGAGTTGAGTATACATGAAGATATCCCTATCTAAGGAGTTGGGTAAACTCCAGGGGTCTAAGAATTAGTTCCCTAAGTCAGGGTTTATTATTATTATTATTTTCTTTGAAGAATCCTTTAGTGTATAGATTTGGATTGATCACAATCCCTGGTTTATGATATTTTGTCATCATGGTATATACATGGTTCTCTTATTATGATAGTTAATTTATATAATATTGGTAACTGTGAGCCAACCACCCAACTAAACAATGAAAGCTGTAATAATAACCCATTCTACCTATGTTCACTTCACCATCTCATTTTAGGTGGCATTTAAAATTTTTTTTTTTCAGAAGGAAGGATAGTAAGACAGAAATAAAAAGAGAGGAGAAAGCTGTAATGCTTTTAAACAGCCTTCTTTGTGTGCTTCAGAGAAGGTGTCAAGATCTCTTTAGCACAAGGAATTAAAACTGTGTGTGACTCTCAGAGGAGCACCTGATTACTCCTGCAAGCATTTTCAGCTAACAACGGCCCGATTTAAATCTTAAGAACATGGCTGCACACTGATTATGACACTTCAGTGCTTCAGCCCTTTTAAAACATGTTCCCTGATAATCAGAATAAATTCTGATGAGGGGAGGGAGGAAGGGGGATTTATTCATAAGGAACACTTAGAATGTTTCGTATTTTTAAAGCTATTGACCATTTAGATTTAAGAACGGGATTTTAAAATAAGTGCCACATTGCTTTTTATTTATTTGTCTGATGCTAGGATTCAAACTCAGGATTTTGCTTTTGCCAGGCGGGCCCTGGCAGCTGAGTTCTATCCCTAGCCTCCAACATCACCTTTTATAATTTTGAAAACTTTGGCTTCCTAAGCAAATGCAGTACATGCACATTACTTTGATCCTAAGAGAATGGAGTCTGAAGTGCTTGTGAAGTGTGCGAAACCAAGGAACCAAACTACAGCGTTCCGGTGTTTCTTTGGAGCATGTCAACAGGAACCCACCAAACCAGGCTCCTAGGGCTGCTGGTTGGTGGGGGACATTGTCAGGGCTTCTCTTTGCAGGTCACCCCAGGTTCGTTAGCATTCTCTGCATGCAGCTCCAGTAGCCGTCTCACAATGTGCCAGCATAACTTGGTTACCAGAGTTTCTCAGACTCTCTCTTGTTTTCTGCCTGGCTGATGTGTTGACAGTCCTGTTCCTAAGGGATCCCTGTTCCCAGTCAAGGGAAGGGCCACCCTCATTGCATCAACTCACACACTTATTAGTACTCCCAGCAGAGGGCCTTAAAACTGAGCAGGGATTAACTCTTAATCTGCCAGAGGTTGTCTTTCTTATTAAGTACTGCCAATTATCCTTTTCATACTTGAGATGGTATTGCTGATCTTCCCACAGCACCACCAGCTCCTCACAATAGCTGCTGACTTGCCTGGTTGGTTTTTCTCTTCTCTAGAGACAGAAAGCGCCTGAAGGATTAGCTGTGGTGGTGTGTGCAGAGGACCATGATGAAAGCAGGGGACCGTAAGGGGCTTGTGGTGGCTAGTGGAGGGGGCAGCATGGGGAGCCGGAGCCTTGCTGAATGTAATAGTTTCTGAGTGGAACTTTCTGGATCCAGGCCTAGATCCAAGTGAGAGTAGGAATCAGGGTACTTTTCCTTCTGGTAAGTTTTAGAGGGTGAGCTAGCTTTCTGTTGCTGTGACAAAACACCTGTGAAAAACAACTCAAAGGAAGAAAAAGCTTGTGTTGGCAAATGGTGTCAGAAGTCGCTGCCCGTGTTGGCTGGTTCCATTTCTGTGAGCCTGAGGTGAGAGAGAAAGATGGTGGCAGGGCGTGGCAGAGGTGAGTTGCTTCCCTCCTTAGCAGCATTGAAGAAGAGAAGGGAAGAGGTCATGTACAGATAGGTCAAAAAGTGAAGCCCCAACTGCTGTTCCTATCGACTTCCAGTAACACCAGCAGAGTTAGGATCTCTGCATTGTGTTAATCTTCTGTGAAGTTAGAGCTCTCACAGCCCCATCGCTTCCCCCAAATCTGTCAGCAGCGAAGCCTGCAACATGAGGACCCTTCTTATCCAAACCACAACAGAGGGGCTAATGCGTCTTAAAAGGAAGTAGCCCTTTATTAATTAAAGCTTGATTTTCTTATTACTTAGTGCTATGATCTTTGGGAATAGGACACTTACTTGTTGCTTTAAAATTACTCATCCATGGCAGACAAACTTGTGCATGCTTAGTGAAAGAGCCCTGTGAGACTTTTGGATTCTGACGCTGGAGGAAGCTGAGAGAAGATTCAATGAAAGTGGCTCGAGTGCCTGGCAAGAATGAGCTGATCAACACATTTTGTTTCTGAGTTTTTAATCTACTCTATCATCCTGTTGTCTTTCGGTGCTGATGTGTATCTTTGAGATTTGTGGATTCACCCACCCCTGCCCTCAGAACTTTTAATATTTCTTCACATGTTCAGAAATCGAAGTCAGAAACAAAGGCACTAAAAATGCCAGCAATGCCTCAGTACCAGACGGAAAGTGTCTCCAGGCTGGAGGGGCAGAGTCAATCCCAACTCATAAATCTTATTTTGCCTTTCATGAATCTTAGCATCATGAATTCCCCCCAGAGCACTTCTATATCAGTATGTTCATTAAAAGGAAACAAATAAGTGAACAGCAGAGCCGCCCAAACCACTACGACAAATAGCTTAATGAGGCTTCGCTCCCCGTTCAAAGAGGCATTACCTTATGGTTATAATTCAGATATGTTCATCACCAAAACGGTGCAATAGACACAACAGTGACACGACAGCAGGGAATGCTGGACTTAGCCTCCGTTTTTTTACTGCATTGAACCTGAGGAAACCTTTCCAAGGGACATGGAACCTTTCAAACATCAGTTTCTCTCCTTGTGCCCACAGCCAAGGATGGGTCTAGCTTTTCTGATTTGCTAGAACGAGCACATTTGCCTTGATTCTGATCCAGGTGGACTCTGCTTTGGCTGGGGAGTTGTACTCTGCTGACATTTAAGACAGGAATTCCCTGGGAAAATAGTCAAGAGATTCTTTTGGTGTTGCTGGCAGGGCTCCAAAGGGTTTAGGGTTCCCCTTTCCAGGCAAATCCTGAGAGAGAAGGGGAGGGAGGGAAAGAGAAACAGAAGGACTTTATTGAGTGACTGTATTTCATCTGCAGCTTGCACAGAAAAGCAGAAATGTGGTTGGATGACTGAGTACTTTTCTTACTCCTTATCTCTTACCTGGTAATATGACAGTTTGGAGTTCAGGCATTTTAAACGTAGCCTAGACATCTACAGTAGAAAACCAGATTTCTGGAAAACAAAGAGTTTAGGGATCCATTGGGCTGGATCAAATGTTTGAAATGGATAATCCTCTAAATGTAGTCTGGCAGTAATTGTTCCAAATTTAAATTCAACCTGAACATATTAAAAGTGAAGCCAACATTTTAATGTTCTTTATCAGCTAAAATGGCCAGTACAGAAAAGCTCAGAATCTTTATATTTTTATAAAGATTTACAAAGATATTTTCAGTTTCAGGAGCAGGTGTTTGGAATTCTGTGCACAAAGTATGGCAGACAGAGCAGGCCAAAACAAACGAACACACAAACCAAAAAGTGCCCCCAAAACTGCGTGATTAAAAATCCTTTCACTTGTTATTAGTTTTTCTTTACACATACATAGAGCATATTTTGGTTATATCCATCCCAGAATTCCTCACACCCCAACCCATGTCCTCTCCCTTTTTCCCTTCTTCTTGTCTAATAATAGTAACCCCTCTCTCACCAAATGCTGTTCGAATAATGCTAGACACTGAACATTTTGTAAGATGTAGAAATGGCCTTAGTCTATGACCTTCTCCGAGATATGACTGATCAGCTACTGTCAGGTTATCTAGGAATGCCCTCTGGTGACCTTTATGTTAATTCAGATTGCTTTCTTTTGGTTCATTCTAAATCATCATACATCCTTCCTTGAATGTAGCCTCTGTGTTTCCTTGTTTTCCATGCACAGAATCAGAAGGGAGCATCTGAAGAAATGCCCAGGACCCGGGATGTGTCAGGGCTCTTCCCCAGTGCCTTCTCCTCAGCTGAGTGTTGCTATCTCTTGCTCACCCCGGCCTCTGCTCCTGCCAAGGGACCATGTCTCTGCCATACTTTGCCTGCTCCTGCCTTCGTGGTCCCTTTAGCTGTAGCGATCCTTCTAATCTCAGTCCATTTGCCTTTTCTATCTGATGTGTGATTTCCTGGTTCTTTTTAAACACTCCTCAGTGTTTACCTGCTCCATGAAACCTGCCCATCACAAACTTGATTGGCTTCTGTCACTTCAAAAA